CTGGTCAAAAAGTCTCGTGACTGTTGCTATGGTAACGTAGCCAAAGTACGTAAAGTCAGTTTGCTTGGCACAGATTGACCTTTAACTCTATCACCCATTCACACTAAGTTATAACGTTTTCACCCGCTTCCATTGTTTACTGCAGTCCTTGGAAGGAAAGTGTGTAGAGTGTGGTCGTCATACCACAATACAGAAAAATTTCTGAAAACTGTCATAGCAGGTAACGAATCATGGGTCTGCGAAAACCCAGAAACCTAGATTAAATCTTCGCAGTGGAAAGCTCCAACCTCTCCGAGCCCGAAGGAAAACCAATCGAAGCATTGTTGACAGATTACTTCGACTACAATAGTTCACCATGGACAGTAAACAAGGAATACTGCCATGACGTGTTGCCTCGTTTGCCGGTGCTGTTCGCGTGAAAAGAACAGAATTGCAGAGTCCATGTTGGGAAGCGCAAGAACAGAATTGCACAAATGCTCAAGTTCCGGAGTGGCACCTCTACTATAAGAACACGCCTGTCGATTAGCGCAGCAGTTTTTGGTCAAACACAACATTCCCCAGGTTCGACAACTAACGTATTTCTTAGATCTCGCCTCTTGCAAATTTTTCCTCTTTCCAAAATAAAAACAACTCCCACTTGAAAGGGACAAGATTTCAAGACGTCGAGGAAATCAAATATGTTAAGTCATAAGTAATCTGCATGTTTGGAAGTCAGTTGTAATGACGATTTTCTCATCTTAACGTAACCGTAAGTTCTATGCTAATAGTTTCTTCTCTTGCGATTCCCAACATGGACTCTCTTCTTCTGTGTTTCTAGTTTTCCAGTCAACTTTGATGTTCCAAAATTTAAACGCAATGCCAATCGTTATCTTCAGTCTTCTTAATCTCTGTTCTTTTATTGTTCCCACTCTTTAATAATGTTTTTTTTTTCTTTTCTTTTTTTTCTCATATTCTCTCACACTCAGTACCCCTCATCCCACATTTGCGCCTTTCGTCCTGGGTACATAAACTACATCCGGTATCAAGGCCTCTGATCGGGAGATTGGAGATTTTGAGGAGCATGAAACCACCTTTAGATTACTATTGTACCCAGGCCGACACTTAACCGGGTGATAGCACCTGTTAGGGTCCCAGCTATGGACAAATAGTGAACCAAACAACAAAAATCAACAGTAGATTTTTATAGTAAAAAAACCAACAATAGATTTTACAGAAAAATGACCAGAAATATATTTTTTATTAAAAAAATTACCAACAATGCATTTTCAGATCTACAAGCTACATAGTCAAAAAGGATACTTTTACTTTGAAAGTATAAAAGTAAGTGTATTAAGGAACAAAGACAACAGGAAAACTGTTGTTTTATCCGACGCCTTTCGTCTAATGTGGACTTTTTCAAGGCAAAAAACAAAATGAATTTATTGAAACAAAGTATAAACAACAAACAAAACATCGTTAGCAACTAGAAGAATTAAGAAACGCTATTTTATATTCATATGGTCAACTGAAAAATTACGTCAATTACTTTGTTTGAAGAGAATATTTTCACGTGTAGAAATATTGTTAGTTTGTTGTGTTGAAGGATTCAACCGTTTTCTTTTGATTACTTCATATATTTGTTGTGTACGTTGTCTTGGGAGAGTAGTGATTCTGTTAAGAAAAGTGATATTGGGGAAAAAACCTGAGCGTAGATTGTAATTTGTGTAGTTACACTGACACACACGTGCGTGTGTGTGTGTGTGTGTGTGACTAAAAATTTCTCAGAATTAGCCTGTAGAAAGAACAATATTTATAAAGAGAAAAAAGACTATAGGGAAACTTGTTTTATTCGACGTCTTTCGTCTAATGTGGACTTTTTCAAGGCAAAAAACAAAATGAATTTATTGAAACAAAGTATAAAGAACAAACAAAATGTCGTTAGCAACAAGAAGAATTAAGAAACGCTATTTTATATTCATATGGTCAACTGAAAAATTACGTCAATTACTATGTTTGACGAGAATATTTTCACATGTAGAAATATTGTTTGTATTGTCGCGTTGACAGGTATATATATATATATATATATATACACACACACGCGCGCTCGCGCGTATGTATATTTTGATCGAATATAGATCCCATATCAGAATAGGATACGGAACGAATAGATGTCGAAAGTTATTCATATATTCTCCCAGGTGTCCTGTATTGAATTTAAGGTGAATTCTCATCTTATTTTCAGAAGTAAAACATTTACATGACCTTTACTTAAATTTCATTTTCATTCTTTCTTTTCATCACTAGAAACGCCATCTTAGCGGAAAATGTGCTAAGGATTTATTATTTAAGCCTGGACACAGATACACACACCTATTGCTTCCTGACTTTTTTTGATCTGATTGTCTAGAAAAGCGAAAAGCGTAAACAAATCTCAAGGGGACATTTATAAAGGAAAAAAAGATAATAGGAAAACTTTAATTTTATCCAGCGCGTTTCGTCTAATGTAGACTTGTTCAAGGCAAAAATTGAAAAGAATTTATTGAAACAAAGTATCTATAAAAAACAAAATGTCGATAGCAAACTAGACTTTAGAAATGCTATTGTATACACGTATGGTCATCTGAAAAAATAAGTCAATTACTTAATGCTTGAAGAGAATATTTTCACATGTAGAAATATTGTTTGTATTGTTTTTGGCCTTGAAACTATTTTGACACCCATTTCTAACACGGAGGAGGGTTTCGAAATTTCGAAAATATCGCCTGAAGAAGGCCGGAGCGTACAACGACTGAAACTTCGGAATTGTGGCAATAAAGATGTAAATAGTTTCAATAACTCATTTCAGAAATATAGACATTTTTTTTAACGACTACTCAGCCTTGATAACTAAACTGAACAACGCCTATGTCTTTTATGTCTGTAAATATGGAATAGGCCTGCACTTAAATCGGCTACCAAGATATCAGTGTAAATATCAGCTGATCTGTTATCCCACCCGCACATGTTTGTCGGTCGATGGAATGACATACTACCAGTCCCTACCCTAGTATTGCAAAGGGTGATACGGCAGAGAGCAACATGTGTCAAACAGACTTTTCGCTTTTCCACTAGTTAGAGTAGTTTTAAAATAGATGTTTTATCGTGTGGGGTCTGCTGTTTGCAGTTCCAAGTGCCATTTAGACATTTTTTTTTCACTTTTTAGACGTTTTTAAATTTTAAAGATTTTTTTTTTTTTTTTTTTTTTTTTGTTACAGCGAGGCTCGCTGTTTATAAGGCCCAAGGACTACTCAGTTAGAGGGTTACGTTTGGAGGCTATTTGTATGTATAGGAATGGAAAATAAAGGTAGCATTGAACAGCTTAAAGATCGTAGTGATTGGGGAAAACATCCTGCTGGGAGACGGTTCCACAGGGCAGTAGTTCGCGGGAAGAAACGGTTCGAATGGAATTTTCTTCTCAACAACTGGAACACGAAGGGAATGTGGGTGTTTTTTAAAACGTAAGTGTCATGTTCTTGCTATGAATATTTACCTCGGCGGGACCAGTGAATATAGTTCGTCCGAGCACTTTAGGTCGAAGTAGCAGTAGAGCAGTGGAAGGCTTCCCGCATCCTGCCTGTGGGAGAGATTTTGAAGCGGGTAGAATAGTTCGACACCTACAAGGGCTTGGGGACGCTTTTGAACTCTATCAATGCTGGAGAGTGAGGTCTGCTTCAAGCCAATATTTTGTAGATATTCATATCTGAAAATATATAGTAATACTATTATAATAACTTTATTTTCTACTTAATTCCTGGTACTGATGATCCTTTTCTTGATTTTCAGGATATTTTATTATATGGGATTTTCACGAGGATTTCCATAACGCAGGTTTACGTAAGGCATAATAAGGGTTTCGCCAGAAATTTTATATCGCATAACGTTGTCGCTATACGCTTTTATATCGCGTAAGGGTTTCACCAAAAGGTTTTATATTACATGAGGACATCGCCAAATATTTTTATATTAGATAAGGGTTTCAAAAACATTTTATATTGCATAAGGGGTTTCGCCAAACATTTTTATATTACATAAATGCTTCGCCAAACATTTTTATATTACATAAGGATTTCGCCAAACATTTTTTTATTACATAAGGGCTTCGCCAAGCATTTTTACATTGCATAAGGATTTCGCCAAACATTTTTACATTGCATAAGGGTTTCAAAAAACATTTTTACATTGCATAAGGGTTTCAAAAAAACATTTTTACATTGCATAAGGTTTTCAAAAAACATTTTTTTATTATACGAGGGTTTCAAAAACATTTTTATGTATAACGCGGGTTTCGAAAAAAACATTTTTGTATTACATAAGTGTTTTGAAAAAACATTTTTGTATTACATAAGGATTTCGCCAAACAAATATATCATAGGCGATTTTGTTCCCATTTTCTTTGCTGATCCTGCGTACCGTTCATGGTATTCTCAGAATCCTTTTGTAGAACATTTCTGTTGCTTCAAGTTTCGTCTTCATCTGTGAGGTAATTAATGTTCCAGCATTTGCTGCCATCTGCCATGTATGAATTTTGCAAAGCAGTTCATCAAACTTTTCTTTGTTTCCCAGGAAAGTTTTTGTTTAATACTTTATTTAGCTTTTTGGAAAGCACCTTTTGCTATTTCAGTGAACGTTCGGGTTTATATGACACATTTTCCATCATCTGTTTCAACACTTCTAAGTTCGTTTACATTTCCTAAACGATTACTGAACTATACTGATTATATTAATGTGATCTGTCCTTACGCTCTATCTACGATAGTCTTTGCAAAATCTGTCTACATTTCTCTTATACGCATGTTATGTTTAAAGTAAATAAAACTTGTTAAGAGTTTGTTTTTAAAAAAACCTGCCCGCGACTTCACGGGTCACATAACTTGCATATATATTTATTTATGTATATAACTCAGTGTCTAACATGGCTGAACCATGAGAGACAACGTTCATCATAACATTTGAAAATTTGTTCACCAGATGTTATTGAGATAAGTTAACTCTCTTTGGTGTTTATACTGTGCCTCTCACGCTTTTCTCTCCTTATACTTTTTTTCTCTCTATTTATCCTTATTCTCTCTTTTTTCCACCCTTATCCTTTTTCTTTTCTCTCTCTTTTCTCCTCCTTATGCTTTTTCTTTTCTCTTTCTTTTCTATCCTTGTTCTTTTTCTTTTCTTCCCTTTATTCTTTTTCTTTTTTTCTCTCGTTGCCTCTTTTTTTCTTTCTTTTCTCTTCCCTTTTTTTTTTTCTCTCTCTTCCTATTCTTCCCTTTTCTTCTCTTCTCTCCGTTTTTTTTTTACACTTTTTCTCTCACACACTTTCTCTTTTACTATTTCTCTCGCTCTCTCCGTCTCTCTTCCCTTTTCTTCTCGCTCTCTCCGTCTCTCTTCCCTTTTCTTCTCGCTCTCTCCGTCTCTCTTCCCTTTTCTTCTCGCTCTCTCCGTCTCTCTTCCCTTTTCTTCTCGCTCTCTCCGTCTCTCTTCCCTTTTCTTCTCGCTCCTTTCTCTCCCCATTTATTTTTTCTCTCACAACATCGTTCTTTCTTTTCTTCCGTTTCTCTCTTTCTCTCTCAACGTCTTTCTCTTTTTTCTTTTCGCTCTCTCTCTCTCTCTCTTTCTCTCTTTCTCTCTCTCTCTTCTTTCTCTCTCTCTCCTTTTTTCTCTCTCTCTCTCTTCTCTCTCTCTCTCTTTCTCTCTCTCTCTTTCTCTCTCTCTTCTCTCTCTCTCTCTCTCTTCTTTTCTTCTCTCTCTCTCTTTCTCTCTTTCTCTCTCTCTCTCTTTCTCTCTTTCTCTCTCTTTCTTTCTCTCTTTCTCTCTCTCTCTTCTCTTTTCTCTTTCTCTCTCCTCTCTTTTTCTTTCTCTGAAACCTCTTTCTCTTCTCTCTCTCTTACTTCTCTTTCTAAACCTCTTTTTCTCCCTTTTCCCTTTCTCTCAACTTCTTTCTCTCCTTTGTTCCGTTTGCCTCTCTCTCTCCCTTTTTGCACTCTTTCTCAACCTCTTTCTCTTCTTTTTCGCTTCCTCTCTCTCAAACTTTCTCTACCTCTTTATTTCCAGCTCTTTTCTCTCTTCACAACCGTTTCATTTTTTATTCTCTTTGTGCCACCATTGATAATTATTTACATCAATACCGACTCTTAACTCAATAATCTCAACAGTAATCCCTCCCCTCTCTCTTCATACAACCTTTTTCTTTTTTTTCATTCTTTTAAAGTTTTCTTTCTTTTATTATTATTATTATTATTATTATTATTATTATTATTCGCATGGCAGTCAGCTTGGGTTCCTCAGTATGTCACAGTTAGTGAACGATATCTGGTCGAGGGTGGGGGGTAGGTTGTGAATAGGTTATGCAACAGGAAATTCTTACTGATAAGCCGCGTCCCTTTAACCACCCCCACTCCACTCAATGTCATCGGAGACAAGCCTGATGTTATCAGAAATTTCAACACCATGCAACGAAGCAACACAGAATCGTGCGAACGAGCATGTATTTACATCTATTATTCATAGAAAGAAAAGATGAACTTTAGTTAAGAATGTATAAGGTTTCTCTTTCTTAATCTGCTTACTATCATCAACGTCTTTTTTATCTCTTTCAAATGTTGTTGTTTTTATCGCATTGAAGATCGCGTCATTGGTCTTTTTTCTTCCTTTTTCAGTTGAGTTGCGGCATCTCGAGATATCATTCTTGAAAAGTGGTTCTCTTCATGCTCGCATCAGTTTCAACCTAGACTGAACTTTTTTTGGTTTAGTCAGGCTTAGGGCGTCAAAATGCAGACACCCAGTGTGACTCGAAGTCGCGACACTTAGCGAATTGAGGATTGAATTTGCAACATTTATCAATTCGATAACCATTGACATAATGTTCTACCTCCCTAGAGAACGTTATGCTTAATGTTTAAAATTAATTTTTTAAAATGACAAAAAATCTTTCTTGAAGCTTTTATTTTAGTTTAATTTCAATCTTTTTTTACAGTGACGTTTCTCCTATAAAGGTCGGGGGGAGGGGCACTCGCGATAGTCTTACAGAGTAAAAGGCAGTTCAATTCTAGGGTTAACCGTTAACTTACCCCACCTATCCGCATAAACTCTAGACTTAAACAGGTTAAGATTATTGTCATCGGGGGAAACATCTTCTTGGGAGTTGTTTCCCGAGGGGAATGTTTCGTGGTAAGAAGCTATTCGAGTGGAACTTCTTACCGATCTAATACGGGGGAAATGAGGGTGTTTTTCTACAATGTGAAGGTCAACTGGCGGAACCAAGGAATCCAGTTCGTCTGAGCGCTTGCCATGTTTTGGTTTGTTTTATTTTACAGCAAATCAAATTCAATGGGTTATTCAATTCCGACAAGATTTTTATTGCTGGTAATATTTTTCAAAATAAGTATTGCTGGTAATATTTGGTTTTCCAAAAACGTATTGCTGTCAATATTTCTTTCTTCAAAAACGTATTGCTGGTAATATTTTTTTCTCCTCAAAAACGTATTGCTGGCAATATTTTTTTCTCTTCATAAACGTATTGCTGTCAATATTTTTTTCTTCAAAAACGTATTGCTGGTAATTTTTTTTTTCTCCTCAAAAATGTATTGCTGGCAATATTTTTTCTTCAAAAATGTATTGCTGGCAATATTTTTTTTTTCAAAAACGTATTGCTGGCAATATTTTTTTTTTCAAAAACGTATTGCTGGCAATATTTTCTTTTCTTCAGAAATGTATTGCGGATAATATTTTTATTTTGATATTAAGACCTATTTTTACACTTTCATAGTGTTTTGATCCCAGTTTTGGGATTAACTATTTACCCATAGTTGGGATCCTAACAGGTTTTGCCATCCCGAGTCTGGGTGGACCTGGGAACAACAGCAATTAAGAAGTGGTTCCACGCTCTGCTTCCGTCGGAACTTGAAATCGACTTAACGATTCTGTTTTTCACGTTAGTTAACCTTTATTTCAGTCGCACCATGGTGCTACATATTCTTCTATATGACGTTCTTTTTTCGTCTGGACTTGTGTAAGTATGGCCCTCGACAACTTCCTGTCTTTTGTTGTGCTACTTAATTCTTGATTCGTTACAATCCCACTTATTCTGTCATTCATTCAAAAAGACTCATAAAATATTTTACTCGCTTACTTTCCCGCCACACTAAAGACTTTTCTTTAAGATCTCCTGCGCGTTTTTTATTCTCTTGGTCCTCTCTATCGGTCACAGAGATTTCAGCGGTCACTTACTGATTCTAGATATCGTTTCCTTGCAAACTATCTTGTTTCTCTCACACTCTGTCCAGAGTGTTTCTAGTTGTGGATTCCGGGTTGAAATCCGGTACCAATAAATAACAAACGCCAAGAATGAATATAGGAAAATAATGTATTAACGTAACAATACAAGCTGGTAATGCAGGTTAGTAGTTCCAGGAATACGGGTTAGTAGCAAAATATATATACAGTCTTTGGTATTCAAGTATCGCTGTATGACTTCTTCCTGAGTCTACGTGCTCGCTCACTATGACTTTTGCTGACAACGTTCGTTCTGTCTGTCTGTTACCTTCACCCTCTGTTGCTCTCGTCTCTCGAGTCCTCACGTAGCAGTAGTAAATGTATATACTGGGTGAGTCCATTTGTGTAAAAAGGGGAGAACCCCCCCCCCACAACACTAGTATTGGCCGATAGAACCACATCTCTTTTGCAAAAAATCTCTTTCTGTTTCTTTTAACAGCTTCAGTTCTCATTCTCCCCTGACCCGGATTGTTAGCACTTGTTAGGGTCCCATTTATGGGCCAAGAGTGAACAATCAAACAAAACAAAACGTTATGAAAGTATAAGAATAAATTTTTATAGTGAAAATACAAACAATACAATTTTAAAGCAAAATGACCTACAATGCATTTTATCAGTATCCAAAGGCATACAACTGGGTTCCAGAAATTATTGAAGATTTTGGAAGGAACTCTTAATTTCTGTTTCCTAGTCAATCCTGACCCGGGGTGGTAGCACATCTTAGGGTCCCAGCTATGAGTAAAAAACACCCAAACAAAAATCAACGGTATTTTTTTTTTTTTATAATAAAATGAGCAACATTATATTTTCTAGGAAAATGACAATAAATGCAACACTAAATATATATAAAAACACATTTTTATAGTAACATTAACAACAATATGATCTGCACAATATACCGTCCTGGGTAAGACGATAAACTACATCCGGCAGCAAGACCTTTGATCAGGAGGTTTTGACGAGCGTGGAAGCACCTCTTAATTGCTGGTGTTCCCAGGTCCACCCTGACTCGGGATGGCAGCACCTGTTAGGGTCCCAGCTATGGTCAAATAGTTAACCCCCAAACTGGGGTCAAAACACTGTGAAAGGATAAAAATAGGTTTTAATACCAGAAATACTTTTTTGGGGAAAATTATTACGAGCAGTACATTTTTTTTTAAAAAGAAAAATTATTAGCAGTAATAGATTTGTGGGGGAAAAAAAAACTTACCAGCTATACATTTTAAAAAAACTACCAGCCATACATTTTAAAAAAAAAATTACCAGCTATACATTTAAAAGAAAAAAATTAACAGTTATATATTTAAAAAAAAAAAAAATTACCAGCACTACATATTACCCGCAATAAAAATCTTGTTAGCATTAAATAACCCATTGATATGCCGTAAAACAAAGCAGACCTACATATTTTATATATATATATATATATATATATACATACCTTTATCTTGAAAGTATAAAATTATGTACAAAATATCTGTAGTTGAAGCCATAAATTTACGTACAAAATATTTAGATTTCGACATTAAATAACGCCAAACAAAATCAACCAACAAACCAAAACTTTCTCGTTAAAAATAGCACTGTAGTCCCCATTTTTCTTAAATATTCATTGTCTTTCCATTGGCATCCTTAAATTTCGACGATCGTGCTACATTTCGGCAGTTTTAAGTCTCTTCATCATATCTGAGGAGATGTTCCAACATTGGCTGTCATATTAGAGATTAGATAACTGCAGTGTATACTAAATCGAGATCTCACCTCACAGTCTGCCTGACGCACGTGATTTCGCACAGGTGTACGGCATGGCCTTTTGTTTAATTTATGTTTTCCCTCTGCGCGCACCTCCACCCTCATTAATATCACTTTTAGTCTATTGGGATGCGCCCTGTTTGTTTTTCAGTTATCTCCCCTGGTTCTCGTTTCAGCGTTAAGGAGGCTCTCTTGAGAAACTTGATATATCATCGTGCGTTGTTTTAACGTGGGGAGGGTAAAAAGAAAAGTATAATATATATATATATATATATATATATATATATATATATATATATATATATATATATATATAAAATAATAGGTGTGAATATGTCTAATGATATATAGATGTTTCACGATAACAAGTTTATTTATTTGAATTAACTGGTCCGCGGAATAAATTATTATATATAATATATATATATATATATATATAATAAATTTTTTTTTTTTTTTTAGAATAATTGTTTTACATTAGCATTCATTTAACTTTTCTTTATTCACTGCCTTTGTCTGGATCGAAAAATATTATTGATTCTTAAAATTTCAGAAGTGGGATACTTTTCAAAATAAAAGTACGGTTTCGAATCGCTCCCTATTAGTTATCTTTACTTTCAGGGCTGACGGCCACATCACATTGAAAGTTAAGCAACGTCACGCTTGGCCTGTACCTAGATGGGTGGCCACTTGGGGATATTGTTAATTGGAGAGCCGAGTTTTATTTCCAGTTAGGTTCGTTAGATTTACTTACATGTAAATACTCTTGGGAAAGGTATGAATCCACATCTTCTCCCCAGCTATGGGTTAATTAATATGACTTGTATCCTTATTATCGATAAAAACCTCTTACAATATAAAAAAAATTCTGGCTTTAAATAACCCGCAAAGGGTTGATAAGCCGTAGAAAACGAATCAATAAAACACTGATTAGCTACACAGGCATGTCTTTTAGAATTATTTACATTCTCTGGAATAGAAATGTATAGAAACTACTGTGGCCACAAAGTGAGGGACAAGTTTATACATGGATTTTAATATAGAGTTGATCCCCCATTTCATATCCATATAATATTTGTATATCAAATTATGGTTAGGTATGATTTAACCACTCCCCGCTCCAACCAATTATAGTTTAATTAGCAAGACTTGTATCGCTAAAACCATTATCTCCAAAAAAGAAAAAAAAAAAAAAACGAAGAAAATGTTCTTGCAATCTGAAAATATTTTTCTGGCTTTAAATAACCCGCTAAGGGTTGATAAGCCATAAACTCTGTTTACGTCACTGATAACTGGGGGTACCATTACGAATTAGGGAAACAACAGCAAGAGTCAACGTCAATGTGTGGACAACTTTATTTAAATCCTACCGCTTTTTGCTTTCTTGCCTGGGTACGACGAAGTGAGTTTGTGGTACTTATGAATATACATGTACAAACAGTATCTGTCTATATTTCTAAGATGAGGTATTAAGTACACTATTTACATTATTCGGACTATTGTCCTCATCTTTGTCGCCATATTTATTACAATGTTTCGGCTTCTGTCTATATTTCTGAGATGAGGTATTATGTACACTATTTACATTATTCGGACTATTGTCCTCATCTTTGTCGCCATATTTATTACAACGCTTCGGCCTTTTAGTATCTGCCTATATTTCTAAGATGAGGTATTATGTACGATATTTATATTATTCGGACTATTGTCCTCATCTTTGTCATCAAAGTGTTTGGGTCCTGTCACTGGAACTTTTTTTTTGTTTTTTTATTTAAACATAAACTACATTTACATTTTATTCAATTATGTAAAGAACTGTTCGTTAACCATTACATATTTGGAAAGGATATTAGAATAATCCATAACTTATACTGGCAGCAAACCCCTTGTAACTCAGTAAATGTACAAAAACCGAAAGGGGTGTACGACAAGGATGCGTCTTCTCACCAGACGTATTCAACCTATAGGTTGAGGCGATTCTGAGATAATTAGAAGTTTTACGAGGGTTCATTATTGGCGGCTACAATCTTGACAGCATAAGATATGCAAATGACGTAGTCTTGATAGCTTACACGGAAAAGAAACTATTAGAACATCTACAGAAGGTAGTTAAGGAAAGCGAGAAGAAAGGACTAAGCATCAATTGCTGGAAAACAGAGCACATGGTTGCTAACAAAATGAAGAAACCCAACATGTAAAGTACAAATTGAAGAGACAAAAATCAAGTAAATACAATAATTTAAATAAGTGGTGAGTATTTTAACAGAAGACGGAAAGTGCGACACTGAAATCTGAGGGTGCACTGCCATAACGAAAGATGCCTTCCAAAAGCTAAGCAAAGTATTAAGAAACATTGAAAAAAATCGTAAGAAACGAAGGAAAGACTACTGAACTGTTGTGTAATATCAGTCCTCCTATGTAGCACTGAATGCTGAACAATCTCTTCACAGACGAAAACAAGAGAAATCTGGTTCTACATAACGACGAAGTTTTAGAGAAAATGGAAACAAAATAGCCATTAACATCAAGAAGAGACAATTGTAATTTCTCGGGCCCATTGAGGTAAGATGGCTTGGAAAATCTGATACTCAAAGGACAGATGGCCAGATGAAAACAACGCATCACCTTGCGTGCTTCAGTAAATGGATAGCAGAAGAAAGTATAGAAGCGATAAAATAAATACACGTTTCTCAAGCCAGGTCAGTACTTAGATGGGAAACGGTTTCAGAACAGCTGGTACTGTAAGTAAAGTAAAGTGATTGCTAAGCTTAGCTTCGATGTAGTACAAGGCCAAAAGTATGGAGCAATCAGTGAGAATCGAACTCCTTACTTGGTTGTAAATGTTCTATTGAGACAAGCTTGGTAACCATTACACGACGTTGAGGAAATCTTTGTGAATCAGAAATCCGAAGACTTGACTCCTTGTTTACATATTAGGAAATTCCTCTTTAGCATATATGAGACTGAATAAAAAAAAAATATATATCAAGTAACCCCACCATCGATACTCATTTTTTCTTCTTTCTCTTCTTTTTCTTTCTCTTCTTTTTCTTTCTCTTCTTTTTCTTTCTCTTCTTTTTCTTTGTCTTCTTTTTCTTTCTCTTCTTTTTCTTTCTCTTCTTTTTCTTTCTCTTCTTTTTCTTTCTCTTCTTTTTCTTTCTCTTCTTTTTCTTTCTCTTCTTTTTCTTTCTCTTCTTTTTCTTTCTCTTCTTTTTCTTTCTCTTCTTTTTTTCTTCTTTTTCTTTGTCTTCTTTTCTTTGTCTTCTTTTTTTTCTTTCTTCTTTTCTTTGTCTTCTTTTTTCTTTTTTCTCTTCTTTTTTTTTTCTTCTTTTCTTTCATTTACTTTTTTCTTCTTTTTTCACGTGTGTATTGAGCACTTTTTAATACTACTGTTTCCTTGGTCTTTCAACTCTTCTTAACTTTTAACCTACTTTTTATATATTTTTTATATATATATATAATATATATATATATATATATATATATATATATATATATATATATATATATATATTGCTAAACGTCCGATTGCTTCAAGTCGGAATCGAAACCCGACCGATTTGGCATCAGTCAAATACTACCCCTTAGCTATCTTCGCGAGAAAGGAAATTTGGGTTTGATATATATATATATATATATATATATATATATATATATATATATATATATATATATATATATATAAAATATTATAAATTAATTGATTTAAAATATGTTTTTTTTTTTTTTTATTTCGCTACACAGTTCTAAAAAGTTACTCCAAAAATTCGCTTGAGGATGAAATGGAATTAATGTATCTAATTTAATTACAAAATTAAATTCGGGGCTTTTACCTTACATTTTTGAAACATGGTTAGAACTGTGTAGCGAAAAAAAACATTTTAAATCAATTAATTTAGAATATTAATGCTCTGTAAATTTACATTGAGCACTATTTTATAAAAATATCTATAAGAACACCGGATTATATATCTTACTTTTCTTTCTTTTTATTTTTATATATATATATATATATATATATATATATATATATATATATATATATATATATATATATATATATATATACTACAGTTTAAAAGTTTACAGAAAGCCCCAGAATTACCAAGAGATGAACAGAAAAGTGAAAAAGAAAAATGAAAAACATGTCTGAGGATTATGGAAAAAAAAAACAATGGAACCAATTATCAAACTTATACATTGACAAACATTTGCAACAAATGCCAAAAAAACTGTACTGCAGTCATCAAGGCAAAAGGAGGCTATTTTGACGAGGATCAAAATTTAATCAGAAAAATGTTTTTTTGTTATAATGAAATTTCTAATAACAATCATGACTCACTCAGTCATATGTATAATAATTTTCTCTCCTTTAAAGTACAAAACAACTACTTTTGGGCCAATTTAAAAAAATACCGGCTGCCTTCAAAATTACCAATTGTAGTTCTCGTGCGTGTATATATATATATATATATATATATATGTATGTGTGTGTCTGTGTATGAATGTGTTTGTTATATATATATATAATATATATATAACACATTTACAATATATATATATATATATATATATATATATATATATATATATATATATATATATATATATATATATATATATATATATATATATATAACACATTTACAATATATATATATATATATATATATATAACACATTTACATATATATATATATATATATAACACATTTACAATATATATATATATATATATAACACATTTACAATATATATATATATATATATATATATAACACATTTACAATATATATATATAACACATTTACAATATATATATATATATATATATATATGTGAATGTATTTGTTATGTATGAAATGGGCGGATGATTATCCCTTGTCTATTGGCATTCTCGTTTTATCTCGCCCTAGTTATACTTCATTTTTTTTTTTTTATATCGCCGTCCCTCGTGAATGCACGAAAGAAATAAAGGGGTCTTTTTCATTGCAATTTTTTCTTCTTCTCTTTTAATAATAAAAAAAAAAAACTATCCGCATTTTGTTTCATGGTGGGAGATCTTGGGGAAAAAAAAACGGAAAGAGAAAAAGAAAAAAGCAACCTCGGTTTAAAAAGCTCGAATTCTGCAGAGAAGCAGGTGACGAGGGATTTGCTGTGTTTTGTGGGTGGGAGAATAGCTGTTTGTCCATGATCGCCTCAGACATCCCCACTCCAATCCGCAAACACACCTTCCCCAGAAAACTTTCTACCGGTTTAACGCTTCGGGATCACACGGGCTACATGTTATCTCCTTTTTTTTTTATCTAGATACACACGAAAATAAATATATATATATATATATATATATATATATATATATATATATACAATGCCACTATTGAGATTAACATTCCTTTTAATGATAGTTGAAAGTATACGACCAAAAATATTAGGGACTTTATAGTTTCCTTCACAAATTTGATCTGGATATAAAATGTATACTCCAACTGGATTGGTTGCTTCTACGATGTATCAACCTATTGAATCATTTAATGTCTATATTTAATGATATTTAAATAGTCTTCTATTTAAAGTTTGCCATTTGATATATTAAACTGGTTGATAAATTCCTTAATCTCTAATAAGGAAGGGATAAACTATTCCTCTATGCTTTCCTCAATACAATGCCTATCATTTGATCTCCTTCATACAAGGCCTATCATCTAAAACGTTACGAAACAGTTTCCACACAAACAACCTCAAATATAGAATCTAATGTCTTGAAAATAAATTCTTCATTATTTTCCTATTTTTAAATTGCATGACTAATCTCCTCTTATTAAAGTAGAAAGTGCACTCCAAACTTTCAGTTATTCTACAAGTGAGTCCCTAAGTAACAAAGGTTGAGAAACACTGATATATATGTATATATTTCTCATTAAAATATTTAGACAAGTTTTGACAACTTATTTTGAATTATATATTCTTCTCTTTTATCCTAGAATAATGACGAACACGACAATTTTTGTCTTCGGAAAAACAAGACTCTGATGACAAGATTGTTTTAATGTCGAAAGTTCTCGGATTAAAATGAATATGAATCAACATGGTAATTTTCTTTCTTCCTTTAATAAGGCCACTAAGAAACTTGTCCGTAATTCTGAGAGGATCCTATTCAAAATAAGGAGACAAAACTTTTCTAAATTATTTAATAAGCTCAAGTCTTAATGAAAACATGCTGCCAAAATATATGCTATATATATATATATATATATAGAAAATGGGTTAAAGATATCTAGAGACGTCAAACACATAGATTTCATGTTTAAGTTGAGTCTTTGTCATTTGAGATTTCAAACGGGATGTTAAATTCCGTAATGTTTAATAAAAGAGGGTATAAACCTTTCCTCTTTGCTTTCCTGAAGGCATAACATAAAAGCTTTATCATTCAAAAAGTTACAAAGAGACATCAAGCACAGTTTTCTCACAAGCAACCTTAAATATACAATGTAATGTCTTAGTCAGTTATGTACCATGCATAATACACGCTTAGGCGATCGTGTATCCTTCGATACATGACTAATGAGGCAGATTTTTTTCCCGCAGAAGGTTGCCATTTCTTTCTGAGGTAGACCAGTTACCATCTAACGCTATAGAACTGGCTCTGTTCCGTTATTTACCCATAGCTGGTGGTAGAAGATTTATACCTTTCCCAAGGGTATTAGCACGTAAGTGAATCTAACGGATTCGACTGGAATTCGAACTTGGCTCTCCGATTCCTTAATCCGAGCTGCTATCCATTATTTCATTGCTGTCGCTCTCTCTCTCTATATATATATATATCACCCCCACTGCTATCTCTCTTTCTCAAACTTTGACTTCTATCTATCTATCTATCTATCTATCTATCTATCTATCTATCTATCTGTGTGCCTGTACATAGAACTTTCGTCTTTAAATGTCTCCCATGTCTGCACACACCGACAATACATTATGTTACTACCCTCCTAGGCTTGCAGTATATGTTCGATCTTAAGACAGAGGCATCGCAAGCGAGCAAATATCTATGTGAACATATATACACACATATATATATATATATATATATATATATATATATATATATATGAACTAAAAAACAAAGGGAAATAATTATGACAATAACTTTTTTTTCTCTTCATGTGATATATCTCCTTATATAATACTCGATATGTCTTTTTTCTTTTCTTTTCTTTTTTTATTTTTTTAATAGCCCCTTCCCCGGCTTAGGCGTGTATATCCTTTTTTTCCGGAACCGCCTTTTTTAGGCACGGACTAATAAACGTTCAAAAACCATCTACTGCCGTGTTTATACGCCGATTTTGATTCCATTTTATGCCCTTCTTAGCTTGGTTCTTTAGTTACTATATTAAAAGCACATAACTCGTAGACGTGTTAGCCACCGCCCGGGTACCTCAAGGTACCTCAGTTTCTTAGTTACTATATTAAAAGCAAATAAAATTTCCCAAAATAATTACTGGGGAAAAGGTTAACATGATCACAAGAGATGCACCGAGGTTTCTGCTTTGAGTAAGTATTTATGCGTAAGATGTGCACATCCAATTCGGACTCTGCTCAGAACCATGTCCTGTCTTCGATCAGGTAATGGTCCTTTATTTTCCATTTTGATTATCGACTGATATTTGTAGTTTGAAAACATATCCCAAATTGATTCTTTTTATGTCCTTCTGAACCTGAAACGAGTCCACTTGTCAACTCATACGCCTGGTAGACGTGTTAGCCATCGCCCGGGTACCTCAGTTTCTAAGTTACTATATTAAAAATTCGTCTGAAAATGGAAGATTTTTCCCAAAATAATTGTCGGGGAAGGGGTTAAGAGATCCTTGCCAAACAGGAAACCCGGAAAAAATTCAACCTGAAGACGATACATTCCAGAAATTTTTTAAATATTTTTGTCGATGTGTCGGTATTAAAAACTCTGTAAAAACTCAAATAAAGAAAAAGAATAGGAACAAATTAAGAGTTCGACAATGAAACGTAAGTGATAAGCATTTTTCCGTTAAAAAAAATCCAAGTTAGGCGATTTAATTAAAGTGTTTCGTAATGCGTTTTTAACAGAGGATGGAAAATGCGAGATTCGAACATGCATTGGACTTGCACAAGAAGCATTTCAAAAGCTAAGATGTTGAGAAAAGGGAAAAAAATGTCGTTAGAAACAAAGACAAGAGTACTCTTCTGTTATCTGTTATCCATCCTCTTATATAGCAGTGAATGTTTAATAATTCACCCAAGGAGGAGGAAAAACTAGAAGCAGCAGAAATGTTGTTCTCCAGAAGGCTACTGAAAATTCCATGGAAGGAGCGAGTAAGCAACAAGGAAACCTTAAAGAAAATGGCAAGAGAAACCATACTTCAGCTGTCTTTTCATGATTCTCAGTAGAAGTTCTTCGGACACATGATGAGGAAGGAGGGCTTGGAAAGCTTAATCCTCACGGGAGAGGGCGTGTAAACAACAAGGAAGAATTAAAGAAAATGGTAAAAGAAAGAATACTTCTACTCAGAATCAGGGGGGAAAAAAGCGAAAAACTTTGGACACATAATGAGGAAGGGCAGCTTGGCGAACTTAACCCTCACGGGACGGAGCGAGTAAGCAACAAGGAAGTCTTAAAGAAAATGGCAAGAGAAAAGAGACTTCTACTCAGAATCAGGAAAAGACAGCTGAAATTCCTTGGACACATAATGAGAAACTTGGGCTTGGAGAACCTTATCCTCACGGGAGAGAGCGAGTAAACAACAAGGAAGCCTTAAAGAAAATGGCAAGAGAAACAACAGTTCTATTTTTGTCGATATGTGGGTGTGTGTACAACCCAAATTATGAAAAAGAATGGGAACAAAAAGACAGTTTGACAAACGTAAGTGATAAGCATTTTTCCGTTAAAAGCATATATATGTTAGGCGATTTAATTAAAGTGTTTCGTAATGCTTTTTTAACAGAGGATGGAAAATGCGACACCGAGATTTGAACATGCATTGGACTTGCACAAGAAGCATTTCAAAAGCTAAGATGTTGAGAAACGGGAAAAAAATGTCGTTAGAAACAAAGACAAGAGTACTCTTTTGTTATCTTTTATCCATCCTCTTATATAGCAGTTTTTTCAGACGTCAAAGACGTCCAAAACATATTGTTAAAAAACCAGCTATAAACCTAATTATACATCAATCTTTATTCATTTTATGCCCTTCCGAGCTAGAAACGACCCCATTTGTCAACTAATACGTCTGGTAGAACTGTTAGCCGCCGCTCGGGTACTTCAAGGTACCTCAGCTTCTTAGTTACCACATTAAAAGCAAATAAACAAATTCGTCTGAAAATGAAGTGTTTTTCCCCACAATAATTGGCGGGAAAGGGGATAATTACTATTTTCTGACTTTGTAGGATGTGGAATTAGTAAATACTAAACACTTACAATAGTTCATCGTATGGATCAGTTATAAAAAAAATAATTCTAGGAGAAAATCGTGTTGAACATAGAATAGCTTGCGCCAAAGTTAGTTTCGCTCAACACCGCAAATTACCATGAAACTAAAACATCAACCTGAAAACTCAAGCCATGACTTGCATTATTTACATTATTCGGACTGTTATCCTCATCTTTATTGCCGTATTCACAGCGTTTCGGTTGTTGTACGCTCCGGCCTTCTTCAAATGATTGGAATTTCAACCGGAACCCTTTATTTCGTCCACCGGGCTAGATTGTTCTAGCTCCACGTGCCATGCCTCTTCCAGATGTCTCAGTTATTTCCCTTTAACTCAACTCTCCAAGTTTTCGTTCACCACTGCTGTGACCTGGTATTGAACTCGCAACTCTTTCGGTTTAGTCACTGGATCTAACCAACTGGACCAACTGGACCATGTGTCCGTTGAGGAAATAAAAGATTCGAATTGTATTTGGAACTAGAACAATCAAGTACCGTTGGACGAAATGGCAATGAAGGGTCGAATAATGATTCAAGTAATTTCTCAGACATCGAATCTCCTGAAAAGAAGGCCGAAACGTTGGGGGCAATGAAACGGGATAAAGTCCGAGTAATGTTATAATGCAAGTAATCATAATACCTTATTCAGACATCGAATCTCTGAAGATGAGCATACAACGGTCGAAACGTTGGGAATATGGCAATTCAGGATAAAGTCCGAGTAAAATAATGCAAGTAAATAATACCTTATCTCAGACATCGTCTCTGAAGAATAATTTTATCTCAGACATCGAGAAGATACAACGGTCGAAACGTTGGGAATATGGCAATGAAGATCAGGATAACAGTCCGAGTTGTGTAAATATGGCACAACGGATGGCAAGATCAGGATAACAGTCCGAGTAATGTATATAATGCAAGTAATCATAATACCTTATCTCAGACATCGAATCTCCTGGCCGGAGCATACAAGAAGGCCGAAGATCAGGATAACAACGGTCAAAACATAATACCTTATTGGGAAATATGGCAATGAAAGAATTATGGATAAATGTCCGTATAATGTAAATAATGCAAGTAATCATAATCTTATCTCAATACCTCATCTCAGAGATATGAAGACAGATATTGAAGGCCGGAGCATATAACGGCCGATACAACGGTCGAAACGTTGGGAATATGGCAATGAAGATCAGGATAACAGTCCGAGTAATGTATATAATGCAAGTAATCATAATACCTTATCTCAGACATCGAATCTCCTGAAGAAGGCCGGAGCATACAACGGCCGAAACATTGTGAATATGGCAATGGAGATGAGGATAAATGTCCGTATAATGTAAATAATGCAAGTAATCATAATACCTCATCTCAGAGATATAGACAGAAGTCCAGTCATATTCTTAAATAGCCTCGTCAGAGCTATAGTCTCATAAGGATGTCATGCATAGCGCCAGACCCATTCAGAAATATTTAAACTCTCATCTACGTGCAACCGTTTCCTAAGAAATGGTTTCTTCTTGTACAACTGCTTTCTTATATCAATGGTGAAAAAAGGCTTTGAGCGTGTGAAGCCTGAGGGTCTTGTCGAAGATCATCTTTTTTTTGAACATTTTGCACTGTCGCTACAAGAACACAAATAAAAACTACATCATTTGAGGACTACCAACAGCGGCAACGACTAAAATGGCTAGCACATGTAACTTAGAGAAAATAAAGACTTAATCAAGATGTTAACATTCCACATGACTTAAATAAAAGATTACGAAAGAAATCCCAGTCAATAGTGGAAAGATCAATAACAGTTACTGGACTTGAGAAAAACTTTTTTGAAAAATTGTTTTAAGGGAAAGATTTTATAAATTTTCAACAGAAAACAATTCTGACTACTCGGTCAATGAACGCCAAATGTTTCCTTGTAGGAAAACTGTTAATATTACTATCCCTATACATATAGATATTTATTTATTGTATACTTACTCTTGGAATTTTCATTTTCTGCTTATCTCTTTTAAATGAATACTTGTACTATTTTTATAGTCATTCTTATCATCCAATAGACACAGATAATATCGTTCCTCATCCCATTTTTCTGATAATAATAATTATGTTGTTCCAGTCCGAAAGGAAAGACTGCTAAAAGCACCCTCCTCCTAAAATCTACAAATCTTATAGATACATTTCGGGATTTCTTCCTAAGCAATAAAAATGAATCGCTTCTAAATTTCTTGTAAATGTTTTTGCTCTTTCTTGTTTTGAAGTCAGAACACTATAATCACTTGACTGTATCCCTTTTTAGTGTGAATACATTTTTTACTTTGGAAACTTGACTTATTCCTGTTACTTTGTCTAATTTTGACTTGCATATGTGACGCGTTTGGCAGAGAAGGGGCGTATTCAACAAAAAATCGAAAATTGCTTTTTTCTCTGCTAATTATCCATTATATTGTATCCAAGTATTTTATTA